ATCGTAGAGGTCTGGACCAGCGCTTCCAATATCGCCAAGGTGCTCGAATCGAACCCAACTGTACGCGTTATCACTGCGCCTTACCAGGCAGCCTACCTGGACGTCGGGCTTGGCAGCTGGCTGGGCGACAGTACTGGTCAATCCTATGCGGATTACGTGACGTGGCAGATGGCCTACGCTTTCGATCCTCTGACAGGCACGCAAGGCATTCCTGATGCAAGGAAGCGCGTCCTGGGAGGGGAGATGAATCTCTGGACAGAACAGGTAGACGAGAACAATCTCGACGCGCTTCTGTGGCCACGCGCACTAGCTGGCGCTGAAGTCTATTGGACAGGCGACTCCTGGACGCAAGCCTTCCACGCTGGCAACATCACTTCGACTTTTAGCGCAGTCGGCCAGGATGACGCTACTGAAGGTGCTGAGGCAGCCGAAACGAACCCCGACAGGCGCGCCATCGCTTGGTCACAAAGGAGCCGGTCTGGATCAAATTTGACAAAGCGCAGTGCTGTAGAGGCGCTACCAAGATTGCACGAGCAGCGATACAGACTCGTCGGGCGTGGCATACAAGCCTCGCCTTTGCAGCCGAAGTGGTGCGCCCTCAGACCAAACCAGTGTGAGTGTTTGGCTCCTGCATTTCGCGCTTGCCCACTTGGCGATGAGTCATCATTGACCCGCAATTTGATCCGATCCCTTTAGGCAACGCGCCTATCGCCACAAGCACATGAGTGCCTTCTCGAAAGTCTCCAAACCTTTCAAAATGGGTCTCCGCTGTCATGATAGCGACCCACCATCTTTTGCATTCGCGTTTACACTGGAACATTCGTCTCCTCGTCATGCTTCTACGTCACGCCGTCGTGTAGGTCCCACTTCATGGTTCGTCCTGTTTGAATTACGCACGAGTCGAAGCACGCCGTGTTGATTGTGAACGCAATCAGAGAGCTCCGCGTGGATCATCGTGATGTGTATGGCGTGTGCGCTCCTCTACTCGAACTGGAGCCCAATTTTGGCCAGCTTATCGTCGAAAGAGTGCTGCCTGTATTGGCTGACTATTCGGCCTAGCAATTCGCTAGTGCTGACACCAGGAGTCCTCAGCGTGGGCAAAAACTTGCCCTGTTCCTTGCAGAATCTGTAAATGTCCGAATTTCCTCCATCTTTGCTGGCGTAGGGCGCTTCGTCATGAGCCACGTAGTCGATCTGCAATCGATCGATGAGCGACTGATCGATGATCCACGGCGCATCTTCCAACAC